TGTAAGAAGGAATTTATATTTATTGAATTGAGAGATGATGACTGCCGAATCCGTATAAAAGGTAATATTACAGGAAGGGAAAGCTGTAAGTAAGGCAGTAAAAATGGCTGCAAATTCAGGTAATGATGAGGAAGGAAAAGGGGATGCAAAGGCAGTGGAAAAGGAAACCATTGGTAAACTTTAGTGAGTCTGAAGCCAGGCAATGCCCATTCTGATCGAAGGAAGACCTAAGTCTTATAAGGATCCGTCTATATAAAATTCTAAAACAGGAGAAGAAGAAAGGAACGAGATAAAGTTAATAACTGTGAATTATATGGAGGTGACAAGTATTTGTCAAAAATTAGGTGTGGTAAAGTTCCGTGAGGCTACAAATAAGCTTTGGTTGTTATTTTTTAAGAAGCAAGTTAGGGCAATTTCATAGAGTGCACTGTTGGAAAGAATACTGTAGAGTCGGTCGATACGGTCACTTTTATTTGACGTAGGAATATGTGCACAAAGGGAGATGGGTAATATGAAGCAGCAACTGTTATAATGCCCTCTGAATTTAGTAGCTGCATTTTGATGAAAGCGGCAATTGACACAAGGCTCAAGGGTTGTCATATTATCAGGTCCAATCGACGGTATGTGATGTCTCAGATGTATAATGTCATGATCAATCTTTATAATTCTTCCTATGATGTAGTAATTGACCATACTGTGCCAACCAACTGCAAATTTGGGTGTTTGGTGAAAGTAAGTAGGGAGATTGATGCAGTAGCCATAGCAGGACTTGTGTTTAAAATTGAATGTAGGTGAGAGTAATCTATCTTGATCAGAATTGAGACGGAGTTCTAAGGTTTTAAACTAACTTGCAATTTGAAAACTACGGATAACTGGATGTGTGATAGTGTACAAATCACGAAATGTGAACATATAATTTCCTTGGTAGTTTGTGAGTTGTTCCATAAAGAGCAAGGAAAACTTCTGTAGCCCAGGAGCATGCTTTCTGTATTCATAATTTAGAAATTCAGAAATTGGAGAATCACCTCCTAAAATTTTATTTGATAATGATGGTGGTACATTGAGTTTGAGCTTCATTACTTTGAGGTTGCAAAGGAGGGTTGGGAGCCAATCATCAGCTCGTGATGTTTTCAAAAAGGGCCAATAGACGAGAGGATTGTAAAAGAGCCATTCCTTCTGTTAGAGTTGAAGGGTATGTAGATGAAAGGATTTTTCAAGTATATTTGTTTTATTAGATATTTATAGTAGTGCGTTGCTGAAATTTTGAATTAACCGTTGATATAAGGAGGTCAAATTATAAAAATAATATGAATGGAACAAATCCATTGGAGTGTGTCTAGAAAGTTTTAGTTTTCTTTTGACAAAGGCTAAGTATGTAGCGACAAGGTTTTTGCATTGTAATTCAGACAGCAATGTAAGTTGAGATCTGTACTCAATTCTTGGAAGAATAACGATATTGAAAATATATATTAGTTGTGAGTCTGTAAGGCATTTGTGCTTCATAATAGTAATGGCCTTTTTAATTTCATTGTGTATCTGATTATAAATAAAATTCTTGTTTGACTTGAACGAGATCCAAACACCTAAGTAACGGATACAGGCTTTTGGAGAAAGCGCATTAATCAACCATGTAGTATTGTCATAAATGATTTCAAAGGGACGTTGTTGGGGAATATTGACCAGGAGTTCCGATTTTGACCAATTTACTTAGATGTTGTTAAAAGCGAAGAAACTGTTTGCAATAGATGTAATTTTTGTGAGGTCCTCCTTGGATTTGGCGAGCCAGAGGGTATCATCCATATAGGCAAGTGCTGGAACTTTTAAATGAGAATTATTAGTAAGCGGAAGATGAGCATCAGGACGCCATTCGACTTCTGCAATGAATCCATGTGGGGAATTGTTGATAGCGCATAGGAGCGGGTCGTAGTATATACACCACAGAAGTGGTGATATAACTTCACTTTGATCTATTCCTGATTGTACCAATTATGTATCAGAATTGCCGTGTGCTATGAAAACTTGGTTGAATCTTGGAAGAAAAAGTCTTAAATCTGTTTGGGTAAAGTTGTAAGAAAGGCGTAATCTTGCAAGAGCCGCAGTAAGAGTGAAGACATTTACGTGATCGTAAGCTTTAGATATGTCTTGTAGCAGAACCCACAATTCAGTGTTGCTATCAATAGCACTTTGTTTGATGTTATCAAAAAGATGTATAGGATCAAAGGTGGATTTAAAAGGTAAACCCGCAAAGTTGAAACCTTTAAGGATGTTATATTGAACAAAAATGTCAGTAAGTCTTGAATTGATCAGACGAATAAAGGCTTTTCAAGCGCTCTCTAAAAGGGTTATTGGTCGGGTGTTATTTAAATCATATTCCCATGGTTTTGGTTTAGGGATCGGGTATATGTAAGCCAAATTTCATCGATGTGAAATCGAAGAAAGTTGCAGACAATCACAGATAATGTACCACGGACATTTCTTTGCTATTGGTCCTAAGTGTTTTAACATCTCATTTGAAATTTTGGATGGTCCTGGGGCTTTGTTGTTAGGAAGTCTATCAATGATTCTATACCATTCGTTCGCAGAAGGTAAAGACATCAAGTTGATATAAATGCGGGGATCAATTGAGTTTAATGGGGTGTATTCAGAAATCCAATCCTCTGAAATCACTTTAGTATGATGTGTGATGCCTGCAACCTGTTGAAAATGTCTGGCGACTTCTTTTTTTACATCTTGATCTTCGAAAAGTAAACTCCTGTGTAGAGACGAATTATCAAAACATCTATCCAATATAATGGTTGTTTTCTTACGATTAAGGATTGAATCGATCATCTGAGATAGATTGTGTTTATAGTCTTCTAAACGGTCGTCCAACGCTTCTTGAATACTCTTGAGCTTGAAATTGTGTTCACGCAATTCGGCCTTTAATTTAAGGCTTACTAGAAGAAGTTTAATATCTGGAATAATGGTGTTAAGCAGTATTACGTGAGGGGGCAATTTAAGGGGATAGTATGCAAGCTATTGGCATGAGCAAGTTGTAAAAATTGTGAGTACAGATTATTCCATTTGTCATGTACAGCAAGGTCTTTCAAGTATTTTTTTGTGATTTTATCGAAACGATGGAGTAACTTCATATCGCTGTATATTTTTAACAGAACGATGGGTTTTTTCGAGGAGTGATAATTTTTTGACTTATGTATCGGGATGCACTTTTTTGCCACAGCGATAAGAGAGTCTTGAAAAAGGTCCTAAGAAGAGTTAAGAAGACTTTGAGACCAAATAGTATTGGATGATATGTGTTTCAAGGAATTGGAATTTAAACTATTATCCAGGTTGTCCTTAAATTTAGACCATTTTGAGTCATTCATTAGATTATAATTGAAGGAAGATTTGATTGGACTTTTCCTTGTAGATACTGAGTGTTTAAGAAATTAATTATTTTTGTTAAGATTATATGATGGTCTGTGAAACAGTTTTACAATCAAGTATATTAAGCGCTAATTCAGGTGTCATGTAGATATAGTCTATCCTTGACGAAGAATTTCTGTTAATAAAAGAAGGTATGATTTACGACTTTCTTTAAATTGAACGTTGAATGTATCATATAGATCATAATTGGTGAGAGAATTGACAAAATTTATATTAAAGGAGGAGTTGTTCTTGCGATCTATATCAGCATTTAGATCTCCCATGAGAATAATGTGCAAATCATTTTTGATGGCATCGTCTAATAAACGTTTTAATAGTTTAACAGATTGTATTGTGATATCTGTTGGAGGGTTGGCGGGCGGAATATAACAGTTAATTATCATTAATTTTTGTTTGTTTGCAAATTGAAGTTTTGCATAAATAATTCTATCTAAAATAGAGTCATGGGTAAAAATGTGTTTAGCAATGAGGGGCTGAAAGAGAGGCTAACACCAGTTCCAATTGATCGGGAATTTTGGTTATTGCTAAAGAAAGTAGTGTAATTTGGAAAATCACGATTAAAAATGAATGAACTTCCTTTGAAATTGGTTTCTTGTAGACCTATAATGTCAAATTGATTTACTGAATATAAAGAAAAAAGGTAATTTTGTTTTGTTAGATCATTTAAAGAACAGACGTTATGAGTGGCGATTCTAAGATTTGGTATGGTAGGAGTATGAGAACTAGGAGTGGTAGTATTATTTATTGTAGGGACAGTAATCATGATAAAGATAGAAATTAATTTGGAAAGCCGTTAATGCAGCGTTCAATGGCTTTGTCAAAATCATCATTCAATGGTTCAAAAATTTATGTATCATGTTTGTTGAGGATATTTTTGTTAAGGAGTGTAGTTTGGAGATCATGGCAGGATTTGAGTAACTTATTTAATATAAGAGTGAATTGCGAAATTCGTTGTTGTTGTTTTTGACAGATAAGAATTAGCTATTCATTTGATTATTTTTGCAAATGAGCGATGCAAAGATCAATGTTAATGTGCAGGGATTTATGATCAGCTTCAGTGGCAGAATCAGGTAAGTTGTTATTATAATCGTCTGCCTCAGTTGGAGTAACGACTTGAATGTGAAGGGCTTTCTCTACCATAGTAAGATGTTGTTGTGAAAATTTAAATTCGACACAGAGGTCAGAAATAGCGTTAGAAATAGAAGTGAGTTGAGATGTGACAAATTCTTTGAAATCAGGGTTATGAATTGAACCACCTTTTGCAGTCTCATTATCTAATTTTGGTGTAGGGAGAATTTCGGTTTCCATGAACTCATCAATTAGTTCGTCTGCCCAATGCAATCTCGGTTCTCTATTAGCAGAATTATGGGAAGAGGTATTATTGTTATTCTTATTACTATTTTTTCTTTAGGTGGTGGAGGTGAGGGAGGTCTCCTTTTTGGTCCTTCTTAAAAATTGACAATTTGTTATAAGGTTTTAGTCACATAAGCAAAAGAGATATTTTCACGAACAGCGCCTCGTATAGGACTACGTTTTGGTGCTGTGTAGTTAGAAAATTGAGCTGATTGGAATTGCTAGTAAAGATTTTGCATGTTGCGGTCCTTAGAAGATTGACGGCGTCTTGGGCAAGTAGAAGCGTTATGATGTGTTAAGGAGCAAATTGCACATAATTTGGCTTTTGGATCAGTCCATTCCAATTTTTTGTTATTTAGAGTTAGATTTTTTATATCCAAAGCAGCTTGAATATCTTCTTTGTTAGAAAAATAGAAGAATGTGTGTTGCAAATAATTATAGTTCGAATGAGCTCTGGGGATGATCCATGCGGAAGCTGCGACCATATTTCTAATATCATAGAGATCACGTGGTGTAATATTTTGAGGAAGATTTGTAAGCTTTGCTGAGAAGGCAGAGCGGGCTTGAATTTCATTCCTAGAAAGGCTGCAAGGATAGTAGCGAATCAT